GCATCATTATTCAGAATCGGACTAGATCAATATCCAAAATTGCTAAATTGTGTAGCCCAGCCTACAGATAAAAAATCCTTGTTTTGTACAGATCTTCTTAAAGTCGCACTCAAACCATTTTTATATATTTGTAATTGATAATGTGAGTACTTTTTTTTAAACAGTCATTTCATCTATCGCTTATCGTATCCCATGTTGCAATATCAGTCAAAAATAATTGATTTTTTTGACTGATATTGACCGATCGTTGGGAGTGACACACGGTTAATTGCATGCATTTCTATGGCAGCAACTAACAGCTACTTTGATAATCTTAATGTGGTAAAAACCAGTTGTATTTAATACTCAAAGGACCCCAATTTAAAGCTACTGTCTTCCTCTTTGGCCAGTTGATCCCTCTGTGCTTCCCTCTGTGTGAAAGTGTAATCTTACCTCTAACAAAAGGCTGGTTTCAGGTGAACACACGGTGGTTGTTGTCTTACAAGGTGTGATCGATGAGACAGTATAGCTGCTCAGCCGGTGATACATGTTTTCTACCGGGGGCGAATGTGTCCACACCTTTTGGGCTGAATGAGCCGTGTGTGTGCCGTCTACCATGTGACCCCTGTGTGAGCTGAAGGAAAAACACACGTGCCTCTAGTCAGCAGCATGTGTGCCAAAACCTGGAGTATGTCACTAATTAGGTGTCCAGGACAGAGCTTTACTTCAGGTGTGTGTGTGTGTGTGTGTGTGTGTGTGTGTGTGTGTGTGTGTGTGTGTGTGTGTGTTGTGTGTTGTGTGTGTTGGTGTGTGTGTTGTGTGTGTGTGTGTGTGTGTGTGGTGTGTGTGTGTGTGTGTGTGTTGTGTGTTTTGTGTGTTGTGTGTGTGTGTGTGTGTGTGTGTGTGTGTGTGTGTGTGTGTGTGTGTGTGTGTGTGTGTGTGTGTGTGTGTGTGTGTGTGTGTGTGTGTGTGTGTGTGTGTGTGTGTGTGTGTGTGTGTGTGTGTAGTGTGTGTGTGTGTGTGTGTGTGCTGTGTGTGTGTGTGTGTGTGTGTGTTGTGTGTGTGTGTGTGTGTGTGTGTGTGTGTGTGTGTGTGTGTGTGTGTGTGTGTGTGTGTGTGTGTGTGTGTGTGTGTGTGTGTGTGTGTGGCTGCAGAAAACGTGCACCTAAATGATTGGTAGAAAATGTGACCGTTGTCCAGCCGTTGATTACCAGTCAAAATGTACGTGTCACTGAGTTCCTGTATTTCCTTTTTGAATATCTTAATTGGACAAAAAAGGACGTTAAAACTCTTTTACTTTCTGATGGCTGTTTTAACCCTAATTGATAAACTATTTAACATCCCCCCCAAAAGTACTTTATAGTGTAAATAGTGTATGTATGATGCAGCAAAGTTTCTAAAGAAGAAGAAGACATACTTTATTCTTCTAGGAGGAAATTCAATTTTCACTCTGTTGTTATTTTTACATTACGATGTGATCTGACACCTCTCCATCTATCAGTCCACACGTACTTGGTCCTTTTGGGACTTGAACCTGCGACCCTTGGGTTTCTCAGCAAAGTCCTTACAAACTAATGGTGCATTTCCACTACAGCGCGGTTTAAGCGTGCCGTGCCCGGCCCGTTTTTGGTTGCGTTTCCACCAGGGGTAGTTCCAGCAAACGGGTACTTTTTCACAGTTTTTCTGGCTCTCCAAAATCGAGGTTCTTTCCGGGCCAACAACCGGGCTGAGTCGGGCTGAGTATGCTAAACTAGAGAGAGAATCGCTGGCAAGGGGGCTACAACTACAACAAGATGAACATATTTGACCGTGATTTAATTGTAATACACGTTTCAAAATGATGCCGAAGTAACAACATACTGATACCGGTTAGTAAAAACCATGAATTAAAACGCTTTGACAAGTCTGCAGACAGACGGCAGGCGAAAAACCTTTTAAAATGCGTGTTTTCTGAATGGAGATCGGCTAAGCTAAAAAAAAAACTCAGACAAAAGGATTTCCGTTGTTTTCTTTACTGGAACATGTTTAACAGTACAAACAACAAACATGCACGCATGTCATCACAACGACGTGGCCTTGAAGTGAAGTTGGTAATGGCCGGCTGCTGCGTCTTTCTCTGTAACCTCTTTGGCGTGCTTCGCACTCAAATGCGAACGCATTGTTGAGGTTGAGCTGTGATAGACCAACGTCTTTTCGCAGAGCTTGCATTTAACTTCCTTTGGACTTGAAAGTTCGAAGTTGTTCCACGAGGAGGAACTCTTTTTACCTGCCGCTTTGTTCATCTTTAGTCGCACGTGTGAGGGAGAGGGGGGGCGGGGCGGGGTGTGGCGTGCTGCAGCAGCAGTCTGCTCTGCACGCAGGCTTCCTCCAAGTTTACAGTAAAACAAACTGGTGGTGTGACCAATGGCCATTTACAATTATTAATACTATTACTATTATTAGCATTAGTCGATATTTTGGTTGAAACTAAGCCAGAAAAAATAAATAAAAACATAAATAATAATAAAAAAATATATAAATAAAATCGATTTTTAAAAATAATATTCGATTATGGAGACTGTAACGAATAATCGAATAATCACTGGCATCCCTAATATGAGGAGCTGTGAGCTCTGAGGGCTAACAGCTAACGGCTGATGTTGGTTTTGTGGTTCGCATTGAAGATGACGTCACGGCTCCGCCTACACTGCGTTAATATAGTTACTGCCCCAGTTCCTAAACTGTAATGGAAACGCAGCATAAAGTGAGCCTGGCCTACCAAGGCCTAACTATACCGTACTAAACCGTGCGAGGCCCTGCAGTGGAAATGCGCCATAAGCTGCTGCCACCCCAAAAGATTCTTTCATAAGAGTTTAAATACATGTTTCAACCAGATATGTTCCCTCACATAGAGCTTACACTATTCCACAGCTGCTCTTGGGTAAAAAAACAAAACGTTTTAAATAATTGCTATAAATACAAATAGGGAAATACTGTAGTGTCGGGCGGTGGTGGCGAAGTTGATAGGGACTTGGCTTGGCAACTGGAAGGTCACCAGTTCAAGTCCCGGAAAGACCACAGAGGTGTCCCTGAGCAAGGCACCCACACTGCTCCCCGGGCGCCGTTCAAAATGGCAGCACACTGCTCCTAACACTAGGATGGGTCAAATGCAGAGAAACAATTTCCCCACGAGGGATTAATAAAAGTCTATCTTATATTATCTTAGTTCAGCGGTTTCCAACCTGTGGGCCGCCAAACAATTAGCAAAACATTATGATTTGTGTGGAAACATTTCTGTAAGGGAAACTTCTGTGTAGCAATGCAGTGGGAGTCACCGACTCAGGAAAGAGACACGGGAAGAGCAGGAGCTTTGATGTCAAACACTGATGGTTTATTTGGAGCTTCGGCCGGAGAATTCACATCACAAGTCCAAGAGCCAGAGGTTCTGACTTCACGGTAGAGTTGCCACGTCAAATCTGAAGAACTCTACCCATGTATTCAGCTAGTTCAGAGAGCATCATCAACATGCTGCATAACAAGATAGAACCATAACACCAGCTGACGCCAACAAGCAGGAACATAGAACCATAACACCTCTATCAGCTGACGTCAACAGGCAGGAACATAGAACCATAACACCTCTATCAGCTGACTCCAACAGGCAGGAACATAGAACCATAACACCTCTATCAGCTGACGCCAACAGGCAGGAACATAGAACCATAACACCTCTATCAGCTGACGCCAACAGGCAGGAACATAGAACCATAACACCTCTATCAGCTGACTCCAACAGGCAGGAACATAGAACCATAACACCTCTATCAGCTGATCCAACAGGCAGTAACATAGAACCATAACACCTCTATTAGCTGACTCCAACAGGCAGGAACATAGAACCATAACACCTCTATCAGCTGACGCCAACAGGCAGGAACATAGAACCATAACACCTCTATCAGCTGACGCCAACAGGCAGGAACATAGAACCATAACACCTCTATCAGCTGACTCTAACAGGCAGGAACATAGAACCATAACACCTCTATCAGCTGATCCAACAGGCAGGAACATAGAACCATAACACCTCTATCAGCTGACGCCAACAGGCAGGAACATAGAACCATAACACCTCTATCAGCTGATCCAACAGGTAGGAACATAGAACCATAACACCTCTATCAGCTGATCCAACAGGCAGGAACATAGAACCATAACACCTCTATCAGCTGACGCCAACAGGCAGGAACATAGAACCATAACACCTCTATCAGCTGACTCCAACAGGCAGGAACATAGAACCATAACACCTCTATCAGCTGATCCAACAGGCAGGAACATAGAACCATAACACCTCTATCAGCTGATCCAACAGGCAGGAACATAGAACCATAACACCTCTATCAGCTGACGCCAACAGGCAGGAACATAGAACCATAACACCTCTATCAGCTGATCCAACAGGCAGGAACATAGAACCATAACACCTCTATCAGCTGATCCAACAGGCAGGAACATAGAACCATAACACCTCTATCAGCTGATCCAACAGGCAGGAACATAGAACCATAACACCTCTATCAGCTGATCCAACAGGCAGGAACATAGAACCATAACACCTCTATCAGCTGACGCCAACAGGCAGGAACATAGAACCATAACACTTCTATCAGCTGAAGCCAACAGGCAGGAACAGGGAGACAGAACACTGAGAGCACAGCAGCCAAGGTTACGAGGTGTGTGTGCTCAGTCAGGACAGTTTGAACTGATCAACTGGGACAAAGTTATGGGCCTTGGAAAAGATTTCCCCAACAATTTCATTATTACAATTTTTTTTTTTTTTTAACCTCCTTTCTTAATCGTCCATCAGAACTTTATTTAGCCTCCGTATTGTTTACGGTTGAATGTGGGCTTGCGGAAACACAACTGTCTCTCCTATACATTGCAGCAACTTTTACATGTGAAAAACGAACCAACCAGTGTGAGTTTTTACATTGTTTTACATAATCTGTTATCTATAACCTGTGAAACTCTCCCCTCAGGTCCCTGGATGCCCCGCGGCGCTCCCTCCTCGACCGCGCCGTGCGTCCCGATGGCCGGCAGTTGACCCCGTCCCCCAGGATGACGCTGCGCGAGCGGCTGAGAGAGAAGATCTCGGCGGCTTTCTACCGCCACGGGCTGCTCTGCGCCTCCTACCCAGTTCCCATCATCCTCTTCACCTCCGCCAGCATCCTCACCTGCTGGTAGGTGTCCTGTCTTTGTGTTTCTTGACATGGAGGAAAGGTTTTCTTGTTTGGAAATGCTTCAGTAGAAAATACAGGTAGTCGTGTTGGAAACCCAGAAAACTATTTGAAACTGGGGATAGGGAGGCGCAATATATTTATATAAGACTAAATATCGCCTTTTTAATGGATATCTTAAAGTCATGTTGCCTTTTTAATGGATATCTTAAAGTCATGTTGCCTTTTTAATGGATATCTTAAAGTCATGTTGCCTTTTTAATGGATATCTTAAAGTCATGTTGCCTTTTTAATGGATATCTTAAAGTCATGTTGCCTTTTTAATGGTTTAAAAGCCTGCATGATGGCAATGTGATGTTATTATCAGATTTGTGTATATTTTCAAGCTGTTCTATTAGTTGCCTCTTCCAATTTATCCTAATAATAGCACCAATGATCCATAATGCTATATCAATATTGAGGTGTTTGATCAGAAATATTGTGATATTTTCTTTTCTTCATATCGCTCAGTTCTAACTGGTTGTGTTCAAAGTAAAATTCAACGCTTTTAGATGCATCTAAATTAGCGTTGCATAAAGTGAAAGTAAGATAAACATGGGGTTTTGATTCTCTGTGACCAATCAGACTGCAGGGTTTTAAAAGTAGCTTTTCACTTTGAGATTAGATGGTACTAAAAAAGTTCCAAGCAAACTGTACTATCCGCAACTTTTTGGAAAACCAAATAAGAACAAGATGAGGCATTTAATGTAGAAAGAAAGACATTTTTGAGAGGGACTGACAGTGGTTCTGGTGTTTGACTCCAAACAAGTAGTGTCTGCTTTAAGCCCCTGACTCAATTAAAACTCAAGTGAAAAGCTGCTCTCCCATGCAGACTGACTGAATTGAAGACAGAGGAGACAAGAAACCGGCTCATCTCATCCGGCCATCTGCACACACACACACACACACGTCACACACACACACACACACACAAAACAGCCCCCTGCCGACACCACCGTGCAAACATTCCCTTAACACACACACATCTCTACTCTTGCTTAATCTGTGGTCAAAAGAGAGGACACAGGTCAGAGAGTTGGGCCGCAAAGACATTGTACAACAATCTGAAACGCACACATGCACCTGCTGCGTGCCGTCGTCAAACCACCTCACAGTACGGGGGGGGGGGGGGGGGGTCACCACGGCTGACCACCTCCCGAGGCGAAAAGAGCTTGTCGACGGGGATGTTAAAGGCAGCATTTGAGACGAGGGCTGTGAGAAAATGGCCCTGTGAGAATGGGAGGCCTGTCCCTCCATCTGCCTGTCAGGAGGGGGGCTGGCTCCGCACAAAAGAGGCCTTTGTGGAGGTACAGTGACCCTGCAGAGTGGGGGGGGGGGTCGGGTGAGGGAGCGGGGGAGAAAACAGAAAGGGAGAGGAAAGGTTTCCACACAAACTGCATGAAGCAGATTCCTAGAAGGGAGATATTTGTTTGTACTAACGATCAGCACAACGTGACTGCGTGGACGGTGATAGTGTTACTGATCAATAACAGTGACTCAGCAAAAACGTAATCACCCACTCCTCAGTTTTTAGATCATTTTCCAGACCCTCACAATCTCTCTTGCAGTTAAAACATGATAACAACTTGATCTTAAACATTTAAACATGTGTTTATTATCAAACAAATGCATTTTCCTCACTCCCAAAACACATCAGAGATACGTTATATTTTTTAAAAAATCATGTTTTATTGGACATGTTACCATATATTCTTATGTTTATATCAATATTTCTATTTTATTATATATATTTTTTGGTCATTTAACTTCAAGATCTCATGTTTAGATAAATATTGTATTCAATTTTTTATTTATTTTATTCTTAACTGGAGCAACTCTCACAAAACCCACTTTTTCCGGATAAATACATTATTATGTTTCTAAAGATGATTCATTAATGTACCCCTGATGGGTTTAGTAAATCACTTTTTCAATTGGAGATTACACAATGGCCTTTTTCATGTGCGCCAGTTAGGGCTGCTCAATTAATCGTATTTTAATCGCAATTACGATTTTGACTTGCAACGATTATGCAACATCATCGAAATATGATAATACATCATATTATATTATTAGGGCCGGGACTCGATTAAAAAAATGAATCTAATTAATTAGAGGCTTTGTAATTAATTAATCGAAATTAATCGCATTTTTAATCACATATAAATATTTGACCTAAGAACAGTGAGAAGCAATTTTTTTCACATGGATTTTAGTATACCATTAGGCGCATTCACACCGCAGTACTTTTCCCACAAAGGTTCATGAGAACTTAGTTCATGAGAACTCTTTGAACCTGGGGGTGGATTAGGCAAATGAAGTCGCTGACGTCACTTCTTCTTCTTCTGCTTTGGGTTTACTGGCAGGCCGCAAACCACTTCACGGCGTATACTGCCGCCCAAAGTCCCCGGCCGGAAGTCCCCGGAGTTGGGGACTGGCTTCAGTAGAAGCTGCTGGGAGTCCCAGCAGCTTCTACTGAAGCCTTCCGAGTAAATCGCCAGAACGCCGACACCTCCTTATCTCCACCGCTCCCATGTTTTATTTTGTGTTGCCATAAGTTAGTCTCTCTGCGTTTCTGCGCTGGGCTAATGCTAATAATGCTAATGCGAGGATAATAAAATGGCGGCTTCACAAAACTTTTTGCGAGTTTTACGGGGCGTGGTTTGCAATCCGCCCAGCCAATCAGACATATAGCTCTTTTCTCACAAGAGAGCCGTACGAAAGTCCCTGCTCTCTAGCAGCTCTCTGCTCTCTAGCAGGGACTTTCGTGGGGGTAAAAAGGTTCTCATGAACTAATTTTAGTACCGGCTCTTTTTGGTGTGAACGTGATAAAAGAGGCTAACGTCCACGCTAGCTTCCACGCTAGCTGCTATATGTTTTGCATTGAGGTGATACTTGAGGCTTGATGTGCTGCGGTGATATGCGAATTGCTTTTTGCATAATTTGCACACAACCGTGCTCTTAACGACGCTTCCATCCGTCCGTTTTTTAAAACAACATTTCCCACTGTTGTTCACTGTGGTTTGTTGTTGTCTGAAGTCATGAACGTTAGTTGGTGCTCCAGTATAATCGGTACGCCTGAAACTCATCCAGTGAGAAACGTTCCGCGGTGCAAAAATAAGTGCGATTAAAATGCGTTAATTTTTTTAACGCGTTAATTTTTGTGTAATTAATTAATCTTAATCAACGCGTTAAAGTCCCTGCCCTATATATTATATTATATTTATTTATTTTTATTACTTAAAAAAAATAAAATTCTTTTTAAATAAATGTAAATTAAAAATTTTTAAATGTAAATTAAAAATTTTATTTTTAAATAAATGTAAATAAATGTCAAAGTAAATCAAATCAAGTTTTATTTATATAGCACATTTATAAACGATTTTTGGTCGAGCCAAAGTGCTGTACATATAATAAAAATAGCCTACAGTAGAGACACTTTACAGCAAATACAACAGCACAGATTGTTCAGAATATCAGTATGAGAAAAACGACACCCTCTGTCCTTAGACCCTCTGTCCTTAGACCCTCTGTCCTTAGACCCTCACATCATACAAGGAAAAACTTCCAGAGACAACCCACAGTTTAAGGGGAACATGGGAGAAACCTCAGGGAGAGCAACAGAGGAGGGATCCCTCTCCCAGGACGGACAGACGTGCAATAGATGCCGTGTGTAAATCGAAGAGATAATACATTTTACAGCATATAGACCGAATGTTAGGAAATGCATGTGTCTGTAATAAGAAGATGATTACTAATAATAGTAATAAATGATAATCGTTTTTAATAATCGTGATATCAATTATTGACCCAAATCATCGAGATTATGATTTTTGCCATAATCGAGCAGCCCTAGCGCCAGTATGCTACTGAGTGATTTAGGTGGTTTTCAGCTACTGAATAATGTCTTAAAAAGCCTTTCATGGCAGTTTCAGATAACAAAAATCAGTCCGCAGCACAATTAGCTCAGTGCAATTTGCCCTAAAAGTAAACAAGAGCAAAAGGGCAGTAAATAGAAATTGTAACATTGTGTGTATTCATCTTGTTTATCAGTGAACAACACTGCAGATTAGACTTCATATCAATGTAACACAGGTCAAACACACACACAAGTAGACCTGCGCTACTTCATTGTCACATCTCAGCAATGAAAGGGTATCATAAAGGTGTAAGCCTCCGCGTTTTTGATTTGCACATAGTTGAAAAGCTCTTATTACTTAATTTACAAAGTGTTAAAGCTCTTAGTTTGTAGTGCATGCCTTCTGTCTTTTCTATTGTTTAAAATAAAGAAAGGACTAATCGCTTTTTCGAAATTCTAGCTTTATCTTGGCATGGAGCCTTTAAAGAACACATTTGTTTAACAAAATGTTGACCCGACACAAACACCTCCTGTAAATGCTGATAATGTCATAATAATACGTGACTAATGTCAGTCTGACACCTAGGACGCTAATTCTTCATTGCTAAAAGTTTCCTCTAACCTCTGATTGTGGTTTTGGATAGCTGGTGTACATTCTCACTACTGTTTTTATATACAGAAACACTGTTTGTATAACTGTAAATGATTTTTAAGATAGGCTCTTTCCATCTCTCCTACCTTCACTATAAGCTCTCCTACCTTCACCATAAGCTCACCTACCTTCACCGTAAGCTCACCTACCTTCACCGTAAGCTCACCTACCTTCACCGTAAGCTCACCTACCTTCACCGTAAGCTCACCTACCTTCACTGTAAGCTCACCTACCTTCACCATAAGCTCACCTACCTTCACCATAAGCTCACCTACCTTCACCATAAGCTCTCCTACCATCACCATAAGCTCTCCTACCTTCACCATAAGCTCTCCTACCTTCACTATAAGCTCACCTACCTTCACTATAAGCTCTCCTACCTTCACTATAAGCTCACCTACCTTCACTATAAGCTCTCCTACCTTCACTATAAGCTCACATACCTTCACTATAAGCTCTCCTACCTTCACTATAAGCTCTCCTACCTTCACTATAAGCTCACATACCTTCACTATAAGCTCTCCTACCTTCACTATAAGCTCTCCTACCTTCACTATAAGCTCTCCTACCTTCACTATAAGCTCACATACCTTCACTATAAGCTCTCCTACCTTCACTCTAAGCTCTCCTACCTTCACTATAAGCTCACCTACCTTCACTATAAGCTCTCCTACCTTCACTATAAGCTCTCCTACCTTCACTATAAGCTCACCTACCTTCACTATAAGCTCACATACCTTCACTATAAGCTCTCCTACCTTCACTATAAGCTCACCTACCTTCACTATAAGCTCACATACCTTCACTATAAGCTCTCCTACCTTCACTATAAGCTCACATACCTTCACTATAAGCTCTCCTACCTTCACTATAAGCTCTCCTACCTTCACTATAAGCTCTCCTACCTTCACTATAAGCTCACCTACCTTCACCATAAGCTCACCTACCTTCGCCATAAGCTCTCCTACCTTCGCCATAAGCTCCCCTACCTTCGCCATAAGCTCACCTACCTTCGCCATAAAGCTCTCCTACCTTCGCCATATGCTCTCCTACCTTCGCCATATGCTCTCCTACCTTCGCCATAAGCTCTCCTACCTTCGCCATAAGCTCACATACCTTCGCCATAAGCTCTCCTACCTTCGCCATAAGCTCTCCTACCTTCGCCATAAGCTCTCCTACCTTCGCCATAAGCTCACCTACCTTCGCCATAAGCTCACCTACCTTCGCCATAAGATCACCTACCTTCGCCATAAGCTCACCTACCTTCGCCATAAGCTCACCTACCTTCGCCATAAGCTCACCTACCTTCGCTATAAGCTCACCTACCTTCGCTATAAGCTCTCCTACCTTCGCTATAAGCTCTCCTACCTTCGCTATAAGCTCACCTACCTTCGCCATAAGCTCTCCTACCTTCGCCATAAGCTCACCTACCTTCGCCATAAGCTCTCCTACCTTCGCCATAAGCTCTCCTACCTTCACCATAAGCTCTCCTACCTTCACCATAAGCTCTCCTACCTTCACCATAAGCTCTCCTACCTTCACTATATGCTCTCCTACCTTCACTATATGCTCTCCTACCTTCACCATAAGCTCACATACCTTCCCTATAAGCTCACCTACCTTCGCTATAAGCTCTCCTACCTTCGCTATAAGCTCTCCTACCTTCGCCATAAGCTCTCCTACCTTCACCATAAGCTCTCCTACCTTCACCATAAACTCACCTACCTGCACCATAAGCTCCCCTACCTTCACTATAAGCTCACCTACCTTCACTATAAGCTCTCCTACCTGCACTATAAACTCACCTACCTGCACTATAAGCTCTCCTACCTTCACTATAAGCTCACCTACCTTCACTATAAGCTCACATACCTTCACTATAAGCTCACCTACCTTCACTATAAGCTCACCTACCTTCACTATAAGCTCACCTACCTTCACTATAAGCTCACCTACCTTCACTATAAGCTCACATACGTTCACTATAAGCTCCCCTACCTTCACTATAAGCTCACCTACCTTCACTATAAGCTCACCTACCTTCACTATAAGCTCACCTGTCAGCTAAGTTTTAGGGTTACTCAACACTACCATCATGTAATGAATACAGACAGACAGACAGACAGACAGACAGACAGACAGACAGACAGAACAAGCAATGAGTGGTTTGGTGCTCTGAGGGAAACTTGTTTCATAAAAGAGCCACCCATTGGCAGGGGGAAAGAGGAAGGGGTCTGTCCAAGAAGCACTTAATCTCAGGAAAAGCCTGAGGCACTGGTGTCGTGTTTTCTTAAAGTGTTGCATAACACACACAGCACACACATGTGTATCGGGTATCTGCTGCTAATAACTGATGTGCAGCCTCACAAACACTAAGGTCTGATCGTGTTTCAAATTATAGTATAAGGCTCAGTGGTTAAAGCTGGCAGCTCATATGAAGCGTGTACAATTTCAGGCAATATCCCTCTATCTCCACTGTATCTCTATTAAAGTCTCTTTCTGGCCCAACATTTTAAAAACAACAAAAATAATGCTTAGAAAAACTTTAGTCTTTATTTTTCATACGCACAAAACCTACATCGTAGTTGTTATACATAGTGTAATAGACATAATGATGCAAACAGGTTGAAGGAATGAGAAGCCTATAAACATGTAATGTAGAATAAGAGACAAAATGTGATTACAAGCTTTAAAGCAGAATAGATACTGTATACTGTAGTTGTATATAAATAGAGATAATGGTCGTCTGTTGCAGCAATAAGTGAAATACGAGTTTAACTTAAACATTGTTGAAAGCATTTCCTCCTGAGAGCTTTAATATTATTTAAAACTTGTGTCTCATATCCGTTTTGTCCCCTTTGTCTCGCAGCTATCCGTTGTTGCGGCTCCCCCTGCCTGGGACGGGTCCCGTTGAGTTCACCACGGGGGGGGCGAGACTACAGCGTCCCTTCCCATGAGCCTCAGGGAGACCTCGGAGAGCGGCCCGACTGGGTAAGAGCAGATTTATTTATTTGTTTATTCCACACATGGCAGTTCTTTTAAAACAAAGCATGTACACTTATACTGGTTGTTTTTATATACCGCAAAAGGTGGAAAGGAGCAGGGAGAAGAACATCTTACAAAAAAATAACAAAAATGAAATAACCATAAAAACTCAAATAAAAGCAATATTCTTTCAGTCACAGTTACTCACTATTACGGAAACATAAAACCAGAACACAATCAAGTCAACTTCATACTGTCTAATTATTACACTTTCTTTATACATTTTCTTAAACATAAAAATGTTCTTACAGCCCTTTAAATCATTCGGCAAAGAATTCTACTTCTTTGTTCTTTTAGATCAGGGGTGGGGAACCTTTTTCCTCTCAAGGGCCATTTCAATTTTTTCAACATCCTCCGAGGGCCGTACAAATTATTGACCTCTGCTTAAAAAAACTAAAATCACAGCCCACTCATTTCACCTTTCTTTCATGCTGTGCAAAGAAAAAGCAACCTCTTAGTCCAGATATGTCACCATGACTCGATGCATGCACGTGCACGGTGTGGCATGAACACCAAAACAGAAAGATATGGACACAAGATGTGTGCAAATGTATTTAGTTTCATGTGGACATGATTTAAGTGGGGGGGGACCTAACCTCCTCTAGGGGGGTCCGGGGGCATGTTCCCTCGGGAAGATGTGTTTTTAAATGTTGAAGTTCAAAGCATCAATCTGGTGCACTTTGAGAGCAACATTAAGAGATCTATGGATACATCTCTCAACACCCATATGAAACACAACTGTAAGCAGATTTTCTTTTTCTTTATGGATATTTTACAAATCACTCCCTTTTAAACTTTATTCTTGTTTATTAATAACAACTTTTTTTTACTGTCATATAGTATTTTATACCTGTTTACTTTATTCTCTTATTTTTTTATAACTATAATGGTCATATAAAGATGTGCCTTTACCTCACTGGTCGTAGAAAAAGCTTCTTATATTCGTTAGCATTGCTAGCTAACCAGATGCTAATAACAACAAAGTTATTGACTGTATGATCAGTGTGACAGATGAACAGATCGCCACTGGGCTTACAACTAAAGACACAGACATGCAGAAACTGCGGCATGTGTACGGCTCCTTATGGGTACTGCAATTTCTGAAGTGCCGGAGCGACGTTCTGGTGCTCTCCGTCAGAACTGCACCCCTGTTAGACGAGACATATACCACGTGATGACACGTTAGGCTCGTGTTGTGTTCAAGGACCCTGACCGTGGCCAGGAAAAACAGGCACTCGCTTGTTTAATTTTTTTTGCGGTCTAGATTTCTTTCAGTTTTTTCTTTTTTGCGTGTGTTAATAAATTACCTCGAAGGCCGTACCAAATGTTCTCGCGGGCCGTATACGGCCCGGAGGCCGGAGGTTCCCCACCCCTGTTTTAGATAAAGCACACGCAGAATATTCCATTATTCTTATAATGAGACTCGTAAGTAGGCCTGTCACGATAATTAATTTTTTCGGACGATAAATGTTCCCGGAAATTATTGCGATAAACGATAATATTGTCGGCACCGTTGTAAGACCATTTTAGACCACTGACATAATGATAATATATAATAATAATTGAAGTACATCCTTTCAAACAGAACTTTTTTATTGAACATTCAACATTGCAAATGAAATGTGAAATAATATTCAAATATATAAATGATATATAATAAATAAAACAAATTAAATTATAAAAAAATAATTAAATCACACACAACCAAAACAATCAATTAAATAGCCTCAGGCTGGAAAACAGAGCTCTCTCTCATATACAGTGGGGCAAAAAAGTATTTAGTCAGCCACCAACTGTGCAAGTTCTCCCACTTAAAAAGATGAGAGAGGCCTGTAATTTTCATCCTAGGTACACTTCAACTATGAGAGACAGAATGGGGGGAAAGAATCCAGGAAATCACATTGTAGGATTTTTAATGAATTAATTGGTAAATTCCTCGGTAAAATAAGTATTTGGTCACCTACAAACAAACAAGATTTCTGGCTCTCACAGACCTGTAACTTCTTCTTTAAGAGCCTCCTCTGTCCTCCACTTGTTAACTGTATTAATGGCACCTGTTTGAACTCGTTATCAGTATAAAAGACACCTGTCCACAACCTCAAACAGTCACACTCCAAACTCCACTATGGCCAAGACCAAAGAGCTGTCAAAGGACACCAGAAACAAAATTGTAGACCTGCACCAGGCTGGGAAGACTGCATCTGCAATAGGTAAGCAGCTTGGTGTGAAGAAATCAACTGTGGGAGCAATTATTAGAAAATGGAAGACATACAAGACCACTGATAATCTCCCTCGATCTGGGGCTCCACGCAAGATCTCACCCCGTGGGGTCAAAATGATCACAAGAACGGTGAGCAAAAAATCCCAGAACCACACGGGGGGACCTAGTCAATGACCTGCAGAGAGCTGGGACCAAAGTAACAAAGGCTACCATCAGTAACACACTACGCCGCCAGGGACTCAAATCCTGCAGTGCCAGACGTGTCCCCCTGCTTAAGCCAGTACATGTCCAGGCCCGTCTGAAGTTTGCTAGAGAGCATTTAGATGATCCAGAAGAGGATTGGGAGAATGTCATATGGTCAGATGAAACCAAAATAGAACTTTTTGGTAAAAACTCAACTAGACGTGTTTGGAGGAGAAAGAATGCTGAGTTGCATCCAAAGAACACCATACCTACTGTGAAACATGGGGGTGGAAACATCATGCTTTGGGGCTGTGTTTCTGCAAAGGGACCAGGACGACTGATCCGTGTAAAGGAAAGAATGAATGGGGTCATGTATCGTGAGATTTTGAGTGACAACCTCCTTCCATCAGCAAGGGCATTGAAGATGAAACGTGGCTGGGTCTTTCAGCATGACAATGATCCCAAACACACCGCCCGGGCAACGAAGGAGTGGCTTCGTAAGAAGCATTTCAAGGTCCTGGAGTGGCCTAGCCAGTCTCCAGATCTCAACCCCATAGAAAATCTTTGGAGGGAGTTGAAAGTCCGTGTTGCCCAGCGACAGCCCCAAAACATCACTGCTCTAGAGGAGATCTGCATGGAGGAATGGGCCAAAATACCAGCAACAGTGTGAATACCTTGTGAAGACTTACAGAAAACGTTTGACCTCTGTCATTGCCAACAAAGGGTATATAACAAAGTATTGAAATTAACTTTTGTTATTGACCAAATACTTATTTTCCACCATAATTTGCAAATAAATTCTTTAAAAATCAGACAATGTGATTTTCTGGATTTTTTTTCTCATTCTGTCTCTCATAGTTGAGGTGTACCTAGGATGAAAATTACAGGCCTCTCTCATCTTTTTAAGTGGGAGAACTTGCACAATTGGTGGCTGACTAAATACTTTTTTATATATATATATATATATAAATGAATAAATATGAGCACACATTGTCTCACAAGCAAAACAAACCTCCATAAAAGAGCAGTCAAGTGTACAGTCGACTGTCTGAATATCCGAAATCTGTATCAATCAAAGATTTCGAGCAAGGAACATCAACATGTTTGCATTGTCGGGCAAATGCATCTTTGATTGCAAACTGTAGGGAAGGTGGGGGCTCTCGAGCTGCCGTGTTTGCTCCCAGCTGGGGAATGGGGTGGTTGTGTTTCAGGTGCAGTTTAAGGTTGGTCGTATTGCTAGCTTTTGTTGCTACCTTTTTAAAACAAATGCGACACACCGCCCGGCTCATTCAAGTCCGTAGGTTCGCCTCGTTGATTTGGCTTAAATCCAAAATATTCCCACACCGGAGATGTGGTGTTAGGTTTTGCAACCACTTCCATTTAACTTCAAATGCCCCTCGAGTAAGTCACACGTGCTTGTCGCTATATTGTGTGTGTGTGTGTGTGTGTGTGTGTGTGTGTGTGTGTGTGTGTGTGTGTGTGTGTGTGTGTGGTGTGTGTGTGTGTGGGTGTGTGTGTGTGTGTGTGTGTGTGGTGTGTGTGGTGTGTGTGTGTGTGTGTGTGTGTGTGTGTGTGTGTGTGTGTGTGTGTGTGTGTGTGTGTGTGTGTGTGTGTGTGTGTGTGTGTGTGTGTGTGTGTGTGTGTGTGTGTGTGTGGTGTGTGTGTGTGTGTGTGTGTGTGTGTGTGTGTGTGTGTGTGTGTGTGTGTGTGTGTGTGTGTGTGTGTGTGTGTGTGTGTGTGTGTGTGTGTGTGTGTGTGTGTGTGTGTGTGTGTGTGTGTGTGTGTGTGTGTGTGTGTGTGTGTGTGTGTGTGTGTGTGTGTGTGTGTGTGTGAGCCCCGCCTCTCACAAGCGCGCCTTGCCGGCAGACACAACGCGAGCGCGCATGCCCGGCAGACACAGCCCGTCTGGCTAAAATGCCAGTCACATCATTATTTAAACAAACACGCATGTAAACGGCAATTTATCGAGCTCAGAAAAGTAATCGAGTCCATTTTTATTTATCGTACGATAAGTCAATTTATCGATTATCGCGACAGGCCTACTCATAAGCACTGTACACAAAAGACTTGCACATAGACATGTTTATAACTATTTGTTCATAATTATCTAAGCTACTGCGTGTTTTACTGTTTCTTTCTGGTCTTTTCTTGGTCTTAGCAATGTATTTATATTATATCGATATTTAGAAATAAGACTAGATGTATTCCTTATACTTTGGATTTCGTATCAAATTAGTGGCTTTTCCAGGATGTTTAAAGGCTCCATTACAGTAACCTGATATCATTTTCTCGACATACCAGACTTTTCTATTATTTATCATTATAACCAACTATCATATCTGTATTTATCATTTATTTAATTATGTAAATAGTTTGTGAAAGCAAGCCTCACTTATCAATAGCAATATATCTGATCCGTGTAAATCATCTTTATTTATCATGAATTTAATTGTGTAAACACCAGTTGTGAACCCCTATAATGGCGCGTCTCCACTGCAGGCCTCGCTCGGTTTGGTTAGGCCTTATTAGGCCCGGCTCACTTTAATGCTGCGTTTCCATTACAGTTTAGGAACTGGGGCAGTAACTATAGTAACGCAGTGTAGGCGGAGCCGTGACGTCATCTTCAATGAGAGCCCCAGAAAAACAACACAGCCGTTAGCTCTTAGCACTCAGAGCTCACAGCTCCTCATATCTGTTCAGAAACTAGACAAAAGTTAAACAAGTACAAACCACAGACTGCCTGTGTCATGGTGAATACAGTCGCTGGTTTATTTATGTCTGTAGGCCGTTGTTGTGAGTGTGGACGGTCGGAGCATAATAACGTTAGCTTAGCCAAGCTACATTTAGAAAACACGCATTTTAAAGGGTTTTTCGCCTGCCGTCTGTCTGCAGACTTGTCAAAGCATTAATTCATGGTTTTTACTAACCGGTATCAGTATGTTGTTACTTCGGCATCATTTTGAAACGTGTATTACAATTAAATCACGGTCAAATATGTTCATCTTGTTGTAGTTGTAGCCCCCTTGCCAGCGATTCTCTCTCTAGTTTAGCATACTCAGCCCGACTCAGCCTGGTTGTTCCTGGCCCTAGAACCACGATTTAGTCGGGCCAGAAAAACTGTGAAAAAGTAGCCCCGGGCCAAAACTACGCCAAGTGGAAACGCAACCAAAAACGGGCCCCGCACGGCTCTGCACGCTTAAAGCGAGCTACCCGCTGCAGTGGAAACGCGCCAACAGGGCTATTCAATTGGCGGCCCGCGGGCCAAATCCGGCCCCGGGGTGATATCTACTGGCCCTTTGAGCTTAATGCCATTTTTGACCACTTATGGAAGCTTGGGGTAGTAATACAAAAACTACAATTTCTTAAAATTTAAATTTAAAATTTGAATGGCATGATATCCAAAACATGTTTTTTGAGGAAAAGCTGGAATATGAAATGATAAAAAAAATGTAATTACAAAGATACTTCAAGAAAACCACCTCACCGGGTAAAAAATACCCACTTATGCATCTAAGGGTTAAGTTCTCAATTCATTGCATTTGCTCCCAATTCACATACGATCAGACTTCAAGATTTTACTATTAACGTTTATAATTTTACATGGACTAGCACCTCCATATGTATCATTATTAATTACCCCGTGAATATCTATCAGGCTCCTACGATCACATTATTTCAGTCTCCTTTCCATCCCCAGAATTCACAAATGATCCGTAGAGCTCATTCATTCAGAGCACTTTCGTTTGGAATCGTCTTCCATTTCAGATCCGTGAAGATATTTCCGTTGACTCCTTTAAAAGCAAACTCAAAACCCATCTCTTCGCATCTGTCTGCCTTGTAAACTCATTTCCATCTCCTAGTTTCCGTTCAACATTACCATCACTTCAGTCACATGCTTTTATCACATGGCAATACTTATGTTGTTGCATAATGTTTTTTAAATGTTGATGCTATGACGTTTGTATTTTGTTTTTGTCTTTTTGTTTGCTTTGTACAGCCCTTTGAGGCATTTCTTGTGATTTGGGGCTATACTCCATTTTGATTTGAAAAGCATGAAATTAGTGTGTAACATATCTGTGTGTGTGTGTGTGTGTGGTGTGGTGTGTGTGTGTGTGTGTGTGTGTGTGTGTGTGTGTGTGTGTGTGTGTGTGTGTGTGTGTGTGTGTGTGTGTGTGTGTGTGTGTGTGTGTGTGTGTGTGTGTGTGTGTGTGTGTGTGTGTGTGTGTGTGTGTGTGTGTGTGTGTGTGTGTGTGTGTGTGTGTGTGTGTGTGTGTGTGTGTGTGTGTGTGTGTGTGTGTGTGTGTGTGTGTGTGTGTGTGTGTGTGTGTGTGTGTGTGTAGTACCGGGGTCCTCCGGTGGCCTACATCCAGCAGGTGTTGGTGAAGGCGGCGGTGTCTCCGTGGGACAGCAGCCTGGTGCCGGTGGACGTGTTTCGGTCTCCGCTGAGTCGAGCCTTCAGCCTGCTGGAGGAGATCCGCAACCACGTGCACTCAGACGGGTAAACACACGTGCGCACACACACACACACGCACACGCACACGCGCACACACACACACACACAGTTAAATATGTTTTGTAAAACGTCATTCTTCGGTACATTTTTTTAAATTACCTGCAGATTCAACATTTAAAAAAACCCATCATACACAAACTGTTTTGTAACTTTTATCACGGACAAGGAACACTTCAATTTAACTGTATATTCATAATAAAGCATTTTACATTCAATAACTTATTTTCCTATCATTTAGTCAAAGAGAAGTCAAACTGAATAATAAGTTGAACAACTAAGTCAATCATGTCCAACTGCCCCCCTTTTTAGGATCCATGGGTGTCTTTCACCTGTAAAGCACTTTAGTTCTGATTTGTACACCTTCTTGTTTTGCTTGGAAGTTGTACATTGCAGTTCATTTAAGTCCATTGAAATAAAGAACATTTGAACAAGAGTGTAATGAGTTACATGCTGCTGCCCTTGTCTTGTTGTTATTCAGTTATGCAGTTGATGGACTAAAGTTACCTCCTCTGCAAATACTAATTACTTGAGGCTCTTTTGTGTTTGAGATTTACTCCTGTCCTCTCACCTCTCTCTCTCCTCCGTCTCCCCCTCTGTCTCTTCTCTGTCTCTCTTAAGATAAGATAAGAAGTACTTTATTGATCCCAAGTTGGGAAAGGTTTGTGTTGCAGCAGCATAAAAAGACATGGCGTTGTGCAATAAAATTAGGAGACAAGAAGAAAGAAACTTGTCTTATTTCTTATAAAGACAATTCAACATCTCAATAGCAATAAAATATCTCTCTGTCTCCCCTCTCAGCTCTGGGGTTCGTAGTCTGGAGTCGCTCTGTCTCCAGGTGACCGATCTGTTTCCAGGGTTACGGCGGATGCAGTCGGTGCTGCCGGAGCATGGCTGTTTGCTCGTTTCCCCCGGCAACTACTGGCAGAACCAGCAGGAGCTGTTCGACTCGGACCCCGACCTCCTGAAGACGATCCAGAAACACGAACCCAAAGGCCTCAGCACCTCGGCCACGCTGCGAGGTGAGGAAGAGGAGGAAGAGGAGGGAGATACATTACCCACAATGCATCTTAATCCTGTTTTTTTTTTTAAATCTTATGCTCTTTGGGGTTTTCCCTTTCCTGTAGTGGGTTATATAGGTTTTTGTGCATGGCTAAAATCCTAAAGTTCCCTCCAGCACATTTTTCATGATAGGCTAAGGGGCGGGACATCTCTAAGCGGTTGACAGAGCCGGTCAGCTAACCAATCAGAGCAGACTGGGCTCTGGTTTCAGACAGAGGGTGAACAGAGGTGCTGCAGCACAGACAGTATGAGAAACATAAAGACCTTTCTGAACATTAAAGCATGGAGACATGTCACAGAAGAGGCACTACATACTGATATACACCTGAACATCAGCAGGAGAGAACTCTTTAAAGTAGAGACACTACATACTGATATCCACCTGAACATCAGCAGGAGAGGACTCTTTAAAGTAGAGGCACTACATACTGATATCCACCTGAACATCAGCAGGAGAGGACTCTTTAAAGTAGAGGCACTACATACTGATATCCACCTGAACATCAGCAGGAGAGGACTCTTTAAAGTAGAGACACTACATACTGATATCCACCTGAACATCAGCAGGAGAGGACTCTTTAAAGTAGAGACACTACATACTGATATACACCTGAACATCAGCAGGAGAGGACTCTTTAAAGTAGAGACACTACATACTGATATACACCTGAACATCAGCAGGAGAGGACTCTTTAAAGTAGAGACACTACATACTGATATACACCTGAACATCAGCAGGAGAGGACTCTTTAAAGTAGAGACATTACATACTGATATACACCTGAACATCAGCAGGAGAGGACTCTTTAAAGTAGAGACACTACATACTGATATGTACCTGAAAGTAGTGATGTTACGTTCGCGAACGATCAGATTGTTTTGAACGGCTCTTTGGTATGAACGAAACAAGTCGTACTTGGCGAGAGCCGTTCTTTTTTATCGTTGGTTCACTGCCTGCCATAAATCCACTTGCCTTTACGGGAACTTGCTTCTCTGAATGCAAATGTGCCATAGATGATGGCATGACGCATGCTGCTGGAGTAGTAGTTTGGCTGGCTGAGAGATGTACATTTTTCTGTGAGTAAAAGTAGATATCTGGCAATACAGTCAATCATTATCCTGGTGATTATTTCGCGGCTCGAACGGCTCTCAGAAAGGAACGGAGCCATACGATACGGCTCCCTTCAAAGAGCCATAATTCCCATCACTACCTGAAATGAGCCCCTTTTAAACTCACTGACATGGTGAACATCTCACCTTTCAGCTCAGGTGATTTAAAGGTGGGAGCTTTTTCTGGGTCTGTACTCGGAGGCAGTCGGGCTGAAACTCTGCTTCACACTTGAAGGTCAGCCAAACTGTCGACTAATGACTCCAGATCATTCAGAGGCGGCAGTGTGAATATTCAGCCACCTGACTCTCTGTTTCTCAGTGACTTAAAAAGGGAACATTGTTTGAATACGTGCTGCACTGTGTTTGATAAAATATGTTGTTGTGTGTGTTTTAGACCTGCTGTTTGGCGTCCCTGGGAAGTACACTGGGGTCAGTCACTACAACAGGAAGAGGGTGGTGACGTACACTATCACTATAGTGCTCTCCACCTACGATGCAAGGTGAGTCACATATTCAAATATAGAGGAGAAAATAAAAATACAGTTTTGCTTGAATTTCCTTTTTTAACTTTTTCATATTATGGCACAATTAGTTTGACGATTTTCAGCTTGATTGGTGATCACTTGTGGTTTCTTAATTTTACACCACTTGAGGGTTTATGTTGTGCGTACAGTGACATGGAAAGTAACCGACAAATAAATACATAGTTTTACACAGTATGGACTTATTATTTGAAATGAATGATTATATAAATTATTCAAGGTTAAAGTATACATTGATATTGTTTAACACATATTAAGATGTCAAAAGAAAAAAAAAAGGGGAGATTAAATAAGTGTGAACTTCTTCCGACCCCTTTTCGGATGTGTACTTAGCTAAAGCTTTGTTGTTTATTGATATCAGACAATACTACAGATTATTCAATTATTAATTAAATATTTTGTTGTGTTATTGCATTCATTTGTATAGTACTGTATCATGTCTGTATCATCTTTTGTTTCATTTGTATTTTCTTTGGTTTTACACGCTCGAAAAAAGAAAAAAAACTAATTATTTGTCTTTGATTATTCTCTAAAATGTATGAATACGCAATTCCAAATATCTATTTAAGAAATGTTACGAACATTTTGTGTATTTGTTCAAAAATAGTTAATAGAAACAAATACAAATTGAAATCAGCCAACAAAATCCCATGAATACAAATATTTAGTTGACTCTGCGTTTCAAAGCTTATCTATGTTTTTCTTTTATTACTTGACACCAAATAAACACAAGTATCATATTGCAACCGCTTTTGCACCCGTTCTAAAAATGCACATTTGGTTTGTTTCTCTTGTTAAGCTGCATTCATTATTGCTGTGGCCACAATGACTTGTGTTCTAATTCATTTAGCCAGCATTTCTGAGACTACTGGTATTATTTAACCTCGGACTGAGCCAACAGGATAGATGTATCCAGAAATGCTGAATTGCTCGACTAAGTAATTGTCTGGAAGCAACTGGATATTATTCATCATTTAATGAAATGCATTTGTAGTGCTGATGATGATCTGTGTGTGTGTGTGTGTGTGTGTAGGTTCCTGGGCAGCCTGCGGTCCCGTCTGAAACAGCTCCACCCGTCAGCCAACTGCAGCCTGAGAGACGACCACATGGTTCACGTTCATTTCAAAGAGGAGATTGGCATCGCAGAGCTCATCCCGCTCGTCACCACCTACATCATCCTGTTCGCCTACATCTACTTCTCCACACGTCAGTCCCTCTCTATTATATTAGATCTGTTTTATTGTGTTGCTCTGTTGGAGGAGTCTGTGAACTAAGATTGTCATTGTCATAACTACACTGTAGCTATGCACAAGTGACAATGAAAACCTTGAATCTTGAAATCTCATTCTGCTCCGTCCTGTGTGTCTGGTTCCTCCGTCACTTTTCTTTATCTTGGATTTTTTGTCTTTGTTCAAACACCACTTAAGCTTTGGTTTGTGTGTGTGTGTGTGTGTGTGTGTGTGTGTGTGTGGGGGGGTGTGTGTGTGTGTGGGATTATCCTCACACAGGAACATTCACACGGCTGTTATGCCCCAGCCACACGAGGACGAAAACGGCTAAACGCATAGGATTAACGCAACCCAAACAAGCTTCCGTCCACACGCAATCCGGATAGTGTCTGTCCACACGAGACCGCTCCGTTTAGCTCCAACCGCTGGAGAAGCTGCAGTACATATGCAGGAGCCTGTACGTGGCTCTGTAACTTCCTCCACAAAAGCAGCGAAGAAGCATGGTTGTCATGGTTGCCCTTCTGTTTATTCTCCGCGGTGGGGGCCGAGGGAACCGGGCAGAGTTTTTCGCCAGTCAACGTGTATTAAAGTTTAAATCTTCCGACAAAATTATAAAAGTGCCGGTCAAAGGTCTTCTTTGTTATTTATTGAGCTTTAAAACAAATGAATAACGAATCTATATAATATAATAATAAAATACACGGAGCCTCTCTTTTTCCTCCCTCTCTTCGGACAGCGCCAGTGTCTGTTTCATGCAGCAGCTGATCCAGTAATGAGTGACCCGGCCGACAGTACAAATAAACATATTTATAACTAGTTTAGTTTGAGAGGTGTCTCCGTCCTGTCAGATTAGACTTCACTCGCGTTTATGTCCATATCGAGAGAAAGATAAATAATCTGAATTCAGTGTGCAGTTTACTTTGACGCGGGGGTGAGCAGCAGAGGCGGGGCTATTGCCTCATCATTATCAGAAAATGATCGTATAGGGCGTACACACGGAGCCGTTGGACCCCCCAGAGCGTTGCGTATGCCGTTCTATCCACCTTGGGACCCGTTATCGTTTCCTCAGTCGTTTAGTGCCGTATGCGGTCGTCCTCGTGTGGCCGAACGGTCTATATGACACTAAACAGTAACGCAAACGACCGTTTTCGTCCTCGTGTGGCCGGGGCATTAGAATGAACTCTTCGGCGACTTCCTAAACAAACTTTCGCTCGTTAAACAAACACTTACTCAAAGTACATCAAATAATATCAACTCCCAAGCCCGTTAATTAATTCATGACAGCCACCTTTTTTAAATTAAAGTCCAAAACTAAGCTTAAGATTTTTCCTAACTCCATTTTTCTTTAATTAAATATGTTTGTATTTTGTTATAAATTTTTTTTAGACGTGGAAGCAAAAGTACTGACTTTTTATTTGAATTATAAGTTCAATAAAATATGTGCTAGATCTTTAAAATGTAGATATTTTTCCGGATAAATGTTTAAAAAAAACTAGCTTGAAAAGTCTGTAGTTCAACGCGAAGGGGAAACAAAGTAAAATTGTTATGGACTAATCTTAAGATGTGTTCTCCATTTAAAAAGCTCTCTTTGCTAAAATTCAAGAACTTCACTACCTGGCATACTAAGAAACTTGCATGCCTCTTTTTACAAAAATCCTAACAGAACTTCCTCTTTGAGGTGTTAAATGGCAGAGGTGGGAGTAAGTCCTATATGTGCAAGTCTCAAGTCTTGACCTACAAGTATCAAGCAAGTCCCAAGTCACTGTGGTGAGAGTCAAGCAAGTCAAGTCATTGCTCAGGTCAAGCAAGTCAAGTGAAGTCATACGAAATTCTGATGAATAAGCCCAGTTTCTGCATTTAAATTAGTTAAAAGACAGTGGTTATGGAAATGGATTCAACCCACACATGATCTTCATTACACACAGTTAATCATTTGAAATCTAATTTAGACTGATGACAATCATATTAGATTCATATTAACCCTAGAACTGCAGACAATATAGCTAGGACTCAAAAAGTCTGTTCAAAAAGGCAGAATTCCAGGTAAGAAAATCATATATGCTATAGAGTGGCGAAGTCACGCCCATCTACTTCCGCCCCATGGGACCTTATTTCTGAAAAAGTATGTATTGAAGTCAATGGAGAGAGAAAACTTATCTTTCGATCCCGTTTGAATTGTGCCACGAATTACACATATGATGTTTGTCAATCTTCAAAAATGATTTCCATGTCAAAAAAGTCACAGTTTGTCTTAAAACTGTTGAAATATAAGACTATGAAAAATACGCAACTAGAAAGACTACAAATCCCAGAGTAACGTTACACATTACACTCGTGTTACTCACCGAAACCTTGTAAAGCCGGTCCGCATGCTGGCTCTCACAGAAACGACTAACTCCCCTTGTGTGTATGCACAGCTCTCAACGTGCCCAGACTTGTAGTGATTTTCACCTCTTTTAATACTTTCCACTTCATAACGTGACGGCCATCTTGGTGTTGGTGACGTATGCAAGACCAGAGTTGTAGTTCATTCAGTGCTTCACACAAAAAAAGTGTTACTTCACAGTTTTACGACACATTTGTATTTTGTTGACTTGCAAAATTATCTTTTAAATTGACAAACATCATATGTGTAATTCGTTGCACAATTCAAACGGGATCAAAACATAATCGTTCTCTCTCCATTGACTTCAATACATGATTTTTCCAAAATAAGGTCCCATGGAGGTCCACCGGAAAGGGAGGGACTTCGCCACTCTATTTGCCATTACACATATTTAATTTAAATGTATGTTAACACTAGAACCGCCAACAGCGTCAGCACCTACATGTAAGGGAAACTTCTGTGTAGCAATGCAGTGGGAGTCACCGACTCAGGAAAGAGACACGGGAAGAGCAGGAGCTTTGATGTCAAACACTGATGGTTTATTTGGAGCTTCAGCCGGAGAATTCACATCACAAGTCCAAGAGCCAGAGGTTCTGACTTCACGGTAGAGTTGCCACATCAAATCTGAAGAACTCTACCCATGTATTCAGCTAGTTCAGAGAGCATCATCAACATGCTGCATAACAAGATAGAACCATAACACCAGCTGACGCCAACAGGCAGGAACATAGAACCATAACACCTCTATCAGCTGACGCCAACAGGCAGGAACATAGAACCATAACACCTCTATCAGCTGACGCCAACAGGCAGGAACATAGAACCATAACACCTCTATCAGCTGACGTCAACAGGCAGGAACATAGAACCATAACACCTCTATCAGCTGACGTCAACAGGCAGGAACTTAGAACCATAACACCTCTATCAGCTGAAGCCAACAGGCAGGAACATAGAACCATAACACCTCTATCAGCTGACGCCAACAGGCAGGAACATAGAACCATAACACCTCTATCAGCTGACGCCAACAGGCAGGAACTTAGAACCATAACACCTCTATCAGCTGATCCAACAGGCAGGAACTTAGAACCATAACACCTCTATCAGCTGACGCCAACAGGCAGGAACATAGAACCATAACACCTCTATCAGCTGATCCAACAGGCAGGAACTTAGAACCATAACACCTCTATCAGCTGACGCCAACAGGCAGGAACTTAGAACCATAACACCTCTATCAGCTGATCCAACAGGCAGGAACATAGAACCATAACACCTCTATCAGCTGACGCCAACAGGCAGGAACATAGAACCATAACACCTCTATCAGCTGACATCAACAGGCAGGAACATAGAACCATAACACCTCTATCAGCTGACGCCAACAGGCAGGAACATAGAACCATAACACCTCTATCAGCTGATCCAACAGGCAGGAACATAGAACCATAACACCTCTATCAGCTGACTCCAACAGGCAGGAACATAGAACCATAACACCTCTATCAGCTGATCCAACAGGCAGGAACATAGAACCATAACACCTCTATCAGCTGATCCAACAGGCAGGAACATAGAACCATAACACCTCTATCAGCTGACGCCAACAGGCAGGAACATAGAACCATAACACCTCTATCAGCTGATCCAACAGGCAGGAACATAGAACCATAACACCTCTATCAGCTGACTCCAACAGGCAGGAACATAGAACCATAACACCTCTATCAGCTGACGCCAACAGGCAGGAACATAGAACCATAACACCTCTATCAGCTGACGCCAACAAGCAGGAACATAGAACCATAACACCTCTATCAGCTGATCCAACAGGCAGGAACATAGAACCATAACACCTCTATCAGCTGATCCAACAGGCAAGAACATAGAACCATAACACCTCTATCAGCTGATCCAACAGGCAGGAACATAGAACCATAACACCTCTATCAGCTGATCCAACAGGCAGGAACATAGAACCATAACACCTCTATCAGCTGATCCAACAGGCAGGAACATAGAACCATAACACCTCTATCAGCTGACGTCAACAGGCAGGAACATAGAACCATAACACCTCTATCAGCTGACGCCAACAGGCAGGAACATAGAACCATAACACCTCTATCAGCTGATCCAACAGGCAGGAACATAGAACCATAACACCTCTATCAGCTGATCCAACAGGCAGGAACATAGAACCATAACACCTCTATCAGCTGACGCCAACAGGCAGGAACATAGAACCATAACACCTCTATCAGCTGATCCAACAGGCAGGAACATGGAACCATAACACCTCTATCAGCTGATCCAACAGGCAGGAACATAGAACCATAACACCTCTATCAGCTGACGCCAACAGGCAGGAACATAGAACCATAACACCTCTATCAGCTGATCCAACAGGCAGGAACATAGAACCATAACACCTCTATCAGCTGATCCAACAGGCAGGAACATAGAACCATAACACTTCTATCAGCTGACTCCAACAGGCAGGAACATAGAACCATAACACCTCTATCAGCTGACGCCAACAGGCAGGAACATAGAACCATAACACCTCTATCAGCTGACGCCAACAGGCAGGAACATAGAACCATAACACCTCTATCAGCTGACTCCAACAGGCAGGAACATAGAACCATAACACCTCTATCAGCTGACTCCAACAGGCAGGAACATAGAACCATAACACCTCTATCAGCTGATCCAACAGGCAGGAACATAGAACCATAACACTTCTATCAGCTGACTCCAACAGGCAGGAACATAGAACCATAACACCTCTATCAGCTGACTCCAACAGGCAGGAACATAGAACCATAACACCTCTATCAGCTGACGCCAACAAGCAGGAACATAGAACCATAACACCTCTATCAGCTGATCCAACAGGCAGGAACATAGAACCATAACACCTCTATCAGCTGATCCAACAGGCAGGAACAGGGAGACAGAACACTGAGAGCACAGCAGCCAAGGTTACGAGGTGCGTGTGCTCAGTCAGGACAGTTTGAATTGATAAACTGTGTCAAAGTTATGGGCCTTGGAAAATATTTCCCCAACACTACATAGATATCATTTTCAAATCCTTTAATTTGTTCCTCTTCATAATTTCCTTATAAACGAAGTAGGACGATTTAAAACTCAGTTAATTGGGTTCATTTAGAAATTGCTTCAGTTTATCATCATAACAGATCAAAAAGTTCAGATTCATTTTACAATAAATCAAGGAATGATCCACTTCTACAAACAAAAACATCATTAAAACATTTTAAAAAATAAATAAAAGTGTACAGTAACTTCTGATAATAACATGGGAAATAAACGAGGCCTCTCTCTCTCTCTCTCTCTCTCCTTCTCTCTCTCTCTCTCTCTCTCCCTCTCTCTCTCACAGCCCGTCAGTATCAGGGTTAGTCAAAATGAATCCCTTGGCGGTTCTAGTGTTCATTTACCGTTTTGTCTTCTCTTCGATTTGAAACCAAGTCTAACGTAGCTTAAACTTAACGTTAGCTTTCTAGCTAACACAACACATTCACGCACCTTTCTCTGTGGGTTTTTTGTAGTGACAAATGAAGTTGGATGTTGTGGTGGTCGTGTCACTGATGATTATGCTGCAGACCCGCTGTTCTCTTCTTATTACTGTCATCGACAAAATAATCCTTGAATCCAAACTTCACTATTTTTGGAGTAAAGCTAGCCGCTGCCGTGTTAACTGACACTCCTGCCGTCTAGTGGGTTGCCAGGTTTTTGGAAAAAACTAAACGTAATATCTCACTACAAAAACAAACGCAAATATTTCATTTTAAACAGTCAAGTCCTTTCAAGTCATCCGTCTCAAACTTAAGTCAAGTCTCAAGTCATGAATACCAAGTCCAAGTCTTTTATCAATGTTAGTCAAGCAAGTCTCAAGTCAAAAAATATGCGACTCGAGTCTGACTCGAGTCCCCACCTCTGTTAAATGGTTACAATAGTTAATTAGCTATATAGACAGCTCCAGTGTCCTGTCCTCATCTTTTCTCCTCCTCCCCCCTCAGGTAAGATCGACATGGTGAAGTCTAAGTGGGGTCTGGCTCTGGCTGCTGTGGTCACCGTGCTCAGCTCTCTGCTCATGTCGGTGGGACTCTGCACGCTGTTTGGACTCACACCCACGCTCAATGGAGGGTAGGAATGCTGCTTCTGTTTTTAACATCTGTCTGTCAAACAGTATACCTTGAGAAAAGGACAGGAACAGAGATGAATGCTGAGAGTTTGGGGGTATTTTTTGCCCTTAGAAAACAGCTAGTTTCAACTAAGTATCCGAGGCATCAACACATGAGTCTGATAATTATGGATTCTGAAGAGAAAATGCGTTATTAATCTCTGATCGGAAATATAATTTTCACTGTGTTGTTATATTTACATTAATAATAATAATAGATTCAATGGAGGCGTGTGGCGCAGTGGACTAGTGCGTGGTGTTCGGATCAGGGAGCACAGGTTCAAACCCCACTGCAGTCAGCATGTCGTTGTGTCCCTGAGACACTTCAGGGGATTGCCCACAGTATTGAGTATGTAAGTCGCTTTGGATAAAAGCGTCTAACATGTAATGTAATTTGTATAGCGCCTTTCAAGGGACCCAAGGCCGCTTTACATGGTGAACAAACAAACAAACAAAAGGGCCAAATAATAAAGTAAACAAAACATTACACACAAAGGACCTTTAAACATGCATTAATGGAGAGGTGTCAGAGTGAAGGGGGGCTGACATGGTTAGGCTCTCAGAGGATTTTGGAGTTTGGTTCACCTCGGATAACTCAGCAGTGCCCAGAGGGTGACCTGGCACCTCTCCAGCCAACAATCCACACTCTGTAATTGGTCTAATTGGGACTTGAACTAACGACCTTCCGGTTCCCAAGCCAAGTCCCTACAGACTAAGCTACTGCCAGCCAGGGGGCCACAGTTTGGAAAAGAGAGCGTACTACATAACTGTCGGTCCATTACTTTGGTGCTGACTGAAATATCTACCAATCTAAATATGTGTTTTGGACACACATTTGTGTTTCTGAAAGGATCATTTACACAACTTTTTTTGTGGATTGCGTAAGATTTGCTAAATACATCCATGGTGCCCAGCAGATAAATCCTTATAAATGTTGTGAATCCTCAACTCTTCATCCAGTGCAATTATGAAGTCTAAATGTTATTTACGCATTCAAACCTACAAACTAATTTCATTTCCATCAGCATCAGTTGTACTGCTAGGATGCTAAACCCCAACATGCTAATGCTATAACTGTTAGCCTTTTAGCTAGCATTTCTTACAACCTCTGTAATTTGTGTTTTTCATAGGCATGGCAAGTTTATTTATACAGTATAGCACTTTTCAGCACGCGACAATTCAAAGTTCTTTGCAAAACTAATTAAAATACTTTTTAGGAATAAATACAGGAAAAACACATTATATAGAGAACATTTTATAAAAATCAACTACTCTGGATACTAGTTGACCAACAAATTGATCTCAAACTTGTATATGTGGAACGTTACAGAAACAAATCTAAAATAGAGTCTCAGTGGGAATTTGTTCTTCTGTCCTCGTTATGCGCCGCTATCGACGTTCAAATATATCCTGTTAATATTTACTGCGGCAGTTACAGCTTCATCATTATCTCTTATGTTATTCACACACATACACACACACACACACACACACACACACACACACACACTGAATGATTCCACTTATGGGGACCTCCATTTTGTCCCCATAAGGGAGGTGAGTCCCCACACGTGACTGTAAACAGATTTAGGTCCCCACAAGTATAGTAATGCTAGGACACACACACACACACACACCATTGCATTTAGCTGACGCTTTTATCCAAAGCGACTTACAATAAGTGCGTTCGACCAACAAAATACAAACTTGAAGAAAACAGAATCATATAAGTACATCAGGCTTCATAGAGCAGCCCTTTATTAGTATATAAGTGCTTTGTTAATAGTTCTATCGCTCGAAGTGGAGTCGAAAGAGATGAGTTTTCAGTCTGCGCCGGATGGTGTGTAAGCTATCTGCTGTCCTGATGTCAATGGGGAGCTCATTCCACCATTTTGGAGCCAGGATAGCAAACCCACGTGTTTTTGCTGATGGGAACTTGGGTCCCTCTCGCAGCGAGGCTGCAGCGAGCCGTTTGGCTGATGCAGAGCGTAGTGCACGTGCTGGGGTGTACGGTTTAACCATGTCCTGGATGTAGGAAGGGCCAAATCCATTCGCAGCATGGTACGCAAGTACCAGTGTCTTGAAGTGGATTCTAGCAGTTACCGGAAGCCAGTGAAGGGAGCGGAGGAGCGGCGTGGTGTGGGAGAATTTAGGAAGGTTGAAGACCAGACGAGCCGCTGCATTCTGGATGAGCTGCAGAGGTCGGATGGCACATGCAGGTAGACCAGCCAGGAGGGAGTTGCAGTAGTCTAGGCGTGAGATGACGAGAGCCTGGACCAGAACCTGAGTCGCTTTCTGAGTCAGCTGGGGACGTATCCTCCTGATGTTGTAAAGCGTGTATCTGCAGCAAGCGGGTTGTAGCAGCGATGTTTGCAGTGAAGGACAGGTTGTTATCTAGGGTCACACCCAGATTCCTTGCAGTCTGAGTCGGGGAAACAACTGAGGTGCCGATGTTGATTGTTAGGTCAAGAGTGGGACAATCTTTTCCCGGGAGGTAAGAGCAGCTCAGTCTTGTCAAGGTTGAGCTTGAGGTGGTGAGCAGACATCCACTGAGAGATGTCAGCTAGACAAGCAGAGATGCGTGCGACGACCTGGGTCTCTGAGCAGGGAAAGGACAGAATTAATTGGGTGTCATCAGCGTAGCAGTGGTATGAAAAACCATGCGGGCTAATGACTGATCCGAGCGAGTTTGTGTACAAGGAGAAGAGGAGGGGACCAAGAACAGAGCCCTGAGGGACCCCTGTAGTTAATGGACAAGGGTCGGACTCAGACCCTCTCCAAGTCACCCTGTAGGTACGGTCTTTCAGGTATGAGGTGATGAGGGAAAGTGCAGAGCCTGAAACTCCAAGTTTTTGGAGAGTGCGAAGGAGGATCTGATGATTCGCCGTGTTGAATGCAGCAGACAGGTCCAACAGGATGATGACAGAGGAGAGGGATGCAGTTTTGGCAGTGTGCAGTTCCTCCGTGACAGCAATGAGAGCAGTTTCTGTGGAGTGACCTGCCTTGAAACCAGACTGGTGCGGATCCAGAAGGTTGTTCTGATTGAGATAACAGGAGAGTTGTTTAAAGACAGCGCGTTCAAGTGATTTAGACAGGAACGGGAGGAGAGAGACAGGCCTGTAGTTTATAACATCAGACGGGTTGAGAGTGGGTTTCTTTAGGAGAGGGTTTACTCTTGCCTCCTTGAGACTGTTTGGAAAGTGACCAGAAGTTAGAGAAGTGTTGATGAAATGGGTGAGAAACGGTAGAATATCAGGAGCGATAGTCTGAAGGAGGTTTGAAGGGATAGGGTCCAGAGGACAGGTGGTAGGGCGGGCAGAGGTAATGAGGGTAAGAACCTCACTTGGAGAGAGAGGGGAAAAGGAGGTTAGTGTGTTGGTGGAAGGAAGGTCTGGTGACCCAGCGGTGAGTAAAGGTGAGTCAGAAAAAGAAGAGCGAATATCATCAACCTTTTTATCAAAGTGGTTAACAAAGTCGCTTGACAGGAGGGGGGAGGGGCTTTGGGAGGGTCCAGGAGGGAGGAGAAGATGGAAAATAGTTTTTTGGGATTGGAATAGGAAGATTGGATCTTATCTTGAAAGAAAGTGCTTTTTGCCTGAGAGATCGAAGCAGAGAAAGAGGAGAGGAGAGCTTGATAGGTTAGGAGGTCGTCACGATGTTTGGATTTCCACCATTTCCGCTCTGCTGCCCGAAGGACAGTTCTATTAGCACGCAGTGCATCATTTAGCCAGGGAGCAGGAGGGGACTGACGAGCCTGCAGAGATGTGAGAGGACAGAGAGAGTCCAGAGAGGATGAGAGAGTAGAGAGGAGAGTTTCTGCAGCAAAATTTGGAGGCAGGAGTTGGAACGAATCAGAGGAAGGGAGGGCTGAGAGCACCGACGAGGCAAAGGTAGAGGGGGAGAGGGAGCGAAGGTTACGGCAGACAGGTGCAGGATGAGAAGAGATTAGTTTGTTATGTTTGGAAAGGGGTAGAGAGAATGAAATGAAGAAGTGATCGGATGTGTGGAGCGGGTTTACAGAGAGGTTAGAAGTAGTACAGTTCCTTGAGAATATGAGATCAAGGACATTGCCAGCTTTATGAGTTGGTGGGGACGGAGACAGTGAGAAAGCAAAGGCGGTTAACAGAGATGTTAGTTCGTCTATCTTCCCCGTCTGGAGGTTGAAGTCTCCGAGAAGTACAGCGGCAGGACCAGTTTCAGGGATGTGTGAGAGGAGATGATCTAATTCCTCCAAGAAGTCCCCCAAGGCGCCTGGTGGACGGTAGAGAACAACAATGGTTAACTGTATAGGATGGGTTACTGTGACGGCATGGAATTCAAAGGTGGAAGGAGTGAAGTTAGGTAGCTTGAAGAGGGAAAAGCTCCATTTGGGAGAGAGCAGGAGACCAGTGCCACCTCCTCTGCCAGTGGGTCTGGGTGTATGGGAGAAGGAATATGCAGTGGAGAGAGCTGCTGGGGTGGATGTGTTGGATGGAGTAATCCAGGTCTCAGTGAGAGCAAGGAAATCCAGAGACTGCAGGGAAGCGTAGCCAGAGATGAAGTCAGCCTTAGGAACAGCTGACTGGCAGTTCCACAGGCCACCTGAAACTAGATGTTGGATCTCAGTGGAGCACGTGGGATAGACGAGAGCAGGCCGGTTATATCGATTACGAGATACACGGGGTCAGTGATAATTGCGAGAAGACACATAAACAGGAATGGAGAAAATACACATGATTATAGCATGAGAGGCTAAACAATTAAATAAAACACCAGCGATACTTAGCTCAATCAAAGTAGGATTTGCCTCCTCTTTGCCTCCCTCGTGACTCCCGCAGGACTCCAATGTCTTTGTCAGTCTTACTCCCGCAGGACTCCAATGTCTTAGCCTGTCTGACACTGAAGCTGACGCTCCAGGAAAGTGCTACCTAAAATGGACACCTGATTGCTGAGTTCTCACAGATGTGGGGCCACGTCCCTTTAATTAGTTAACTCTCTGCAGCTGGTGGCCCTCAAAAGGAAATTGAGACTGGCTCCCTCCTGACTTGTTATTGTATTTTAAGTGGCCCAATGGTTTTACAATTACATTAAACCCCAAGTTATAAAGTTATGAGTTTAACCCTTAATACAGTTACACCTACTCAATAAAGCTCTTAGTATTCTACAAATGTTTAAATCAAAGTTAACCCTAGCAGTCAGTTAGTTCAGTTTTAAGGTTTCAGTCAAATTACGTGTCCCAAGTTTCTGCCTAACAGATACTGTAGCGGTTTTGAGATTTAAAATCACAATTTCAGTCAGATCAACTACAGAGCATTGATACAGAGTACACACACTGAAACAGAGAAGTCTAAAAACAGAATGTTACTCTTCTATTCTAGAAGTCTCCAGTTGCTTTCCTGTCAAAATCGAGTTGCACACACACACACACACAAACACACACACACACACACACACACACACACACACACACACACACACACACACACACACACACACACACACACACACACACACACACACACACACACGAAGCACGTTATTGACCCTCCACTTCCTCTGCATTGACTTCACATGGCTTTGCGTTAATGTTTACAGCAGAATCTAAGAATCTGTGTGTTAGTGGGCGGGGCTTCACCAGGGCGGTGGAGATGTTGTGATATTGACATTTAATGGTTCGTCCAATCGTTTGAGGATTATTAGAAAGCAGTTATTGTGGCGTGACAGCGGCAGAGCGACCAACCAGTGACCAGGATCCACGCAGCTGTGGGCCGTGCCTCACTCTCTGTGTCAAGGTCAACACAACGAGAGCATGCAAGACACACACTGCTCACTCATGGTTCTCTCCACACACTGATATAGTGGAGTGTGTGTGTGTTTTTATCATGCAAAGTGTTAGTGTGTCTAATGACTCCTCTGTGACCCACATATATACACGTTACACTATTATTACACTATTACTCCTGCAGCTTATCTCTACTTGAACAATAATCTCTCTGTACACGTCAACAGAGGAGGAAATTCCCAGCAGTCACATGCCGTATTAATAAGTCATTAAGTGTAAATATTGGCTTACTTTTGGCAGGAATTCAACTTATTTTTTTACATTATGTCATATTTACTGTTTTATTTTGGATCAAGCAATCTCTCATGCTCATCTTTAAAAAAAGTCAGGTCATGTTTATCCTTTCCAAAATTATCGCGATCATCCCGATAATGAAAGAAGCCCTTAAACATACTGGAAGCACTTTAGCTTGTTAGCTTGTTAGCTTGTTTTAGCTTGTTAACAAACAAACATTTCAATTGCATGACACATGGGATCTTTAGAAATCATATGGTCTTCCTACATGAATAAAGATTACATTAATAAATACATTAAAACATAGTGAGATCTTTCCACCATGAGACTTGCTTTATTATTTTAATCGGGCTGTATTATTTTCTTTACTCCGGTGATAACGAGCTTAACAACTTCTCCCAAGTCCCTCATGTGAGGACATTATCACCATTATGTGTTTATTAGAAACTCACTTCAATTTGTGTCCTTTTGTTTCTACTGTCCCCTCCTTACACAGAAGAGGGTCCTTTTTAAATGTTTTGTTCTTGAGTTTAAAAGTGTGTTGTCTTGTGTCTCCAGAGAGATTTTCCCGTATCTGGTGGTTGTGATCGGCCTGGAGAACGTCCTGGTTCTCACCAAATCTGTGGTGTCCACCCCTGTCGACCTTGAGGTCAAACTCCGCATCGCTCAGGGTAAGAAGTGTGTGTGTGTGTGTGTGTGTGTGTGTGTGTGTGTGTGTGTGTGTGTGTGTGTGTGTGTGTGTGTGTGTGTGTGTGTGTGTGTGTGTGTGTGTGTGTGTGTGTGTGTGTGTGTGTGTGTGTGTGTGTGTGTGTGTGTGTGGTGTGTGTGTGTGTGTGTGTGTGTGTGTGTGTGTGTGTGTGTGTGTGTGTGTGTGTGTGTGTGTGTGTGTGTGTGTGTGTGTGTGTGTGTGTGTGTGTGTGTGTGTGTGTGTGTGTGTGTGTGTGTGTGTGTGTGTGTGTGTGTGTGTGTGTGTGTGTGTGTGTGTGTGGTCGTCACTGAGGGCCCTCACATGCTCAAGGGCGTGTGCCCTGTGGTTAATCCGGCCTTGGCTGTAACATAAATATAGTGAAGTAAAAAGTACAACATTTCCCTTTGAGTTGTAGTGGAGTAGAAATATAGTGGCACTAAAATACTGTCCCTTAATAAAGTAGTTAAGATAAGTGTGTGAGGGCTGCTCAATGAATCGTATTTTAATCGCAATTACGATTTTGGCTTGCAACGATTATGAAAAACAACATAATCGAATTAAAACTTTTATTTTATTTTTTGAATTTATTTTTTTTGGTTTTTCAGTTAATCGTGATTATGATTTTTGCCTTAATCGAGCAGTGTGTGTGTGTGTGTGTGTGTGTGTGTGTGTGTGTGTGTGTGTGTGTGTGTGTGTGTGTGTGTGTGTGTGTGTGTGTGTGATATTTGTGTAATGGTATCATTGTTTCTGTCCAGGCCTAAGTAATGAGAGCTGGTCTATCATGAAGAACATGGCCACTGAACTGTGCATCATCCTCATTGGATACTTCACTCTGGTGCCGGCTATCCAGGTAACACAAACACCGTTGTATTGTCCCATCAGAAAGAAACATAGTGTTGCATAAAAGCACTTAAATGTGTTTTATGTTCCGAGGCAGAATATGTTTAATGAAGTACATCAATACCCCATTACGTTACATTTCATTGAGCCGATGCTTTTATCTGAAGCAATCCACAATGAGTGTAATAAACACACTTTAAGAATTCAGCAAGAATTCAGCAATCTTATCAGCTGCTGCATGAAGTCTAAAAAGTGACTACCCTTTACAGTTTCTTAAAGTTTTGAAACGCTACGTGCTTTGCCTCCTGTTAGTGCTGTCTGATGTCTCCACTATAACACTGCCCGTCAATACAACATCTGTTCAATATACACTTAAGTGCAATTAGCGCTTATTACTTAACAATATATTTACTTGTCAATGTTACCGGCTCCTTTGATACTTTAATATATTCACTTATAATTAGAAATACTGCTATTTATTACGTTTTTGCTTATTTGTTTACATGTTTTTGCTTTTTATTTGATATAATAATCTAATCTTTTTGCCTTTTCATCTGCACTGAACCGCAATCTGATAAACCATCTGTTCCGATTGCACCTTGGCAATACCATTTAAATAAATAAATAAAGTTAATTTTGGCCTTGAAACTAATTCCCCAGCACTTACAAGGGTATGACTTGCTTGGAGTGAATATATCTGTGCTTTCCTTGTTCTTCGGGGTTTGAATCTTTATGGTTTTTGCACTTATTATAAGTCGTATTGAGGATACGTCCCCTCCTGACCCAGAAACCGACGCAACTTCTGGTCCAGGCTAACATCAACCAAACGACTCGCTGCACCCGCACTGCGAGGGGGACCCAAGTTCCCATCAGCAAAAACACGTGGGTTTGCTATCCTGGCTCCAAGATGGTGGAATGAGCTCCCCATTGACATCAGGACGGCAGATAGCTTGCACACCTTCCGGCGCAAACTGAAAACTCATCTCTTTCGACTCCACTTCGAGCGATAGAACTATTAACAAAGCACTTTTATACTAATAAAGGACTGGCTTACCTAAAGCCAGTTGAGTAGCACTTGAAATGTTTTGGCTCTATGAAACCTGATGTACTTATATGATTCTGTTTTCTTCAAGTTTGTATCTTCTTGGTCGAATGCACTTATTGTAAGTCGCTTTGAATAAAAGCGTCAGCTAAATGTAATGTAATGAACCTTTGCTGCGTTGCTGTGGGACGAATAAAGCATTTCTGATTCTCTCATTTCTAGGAGTTCTGTCTGTTTGCTGTGGTGGGGCTGGTGTCCGACTTCTTCCTGCAGATGTTCTTCTTCACCACGGTGTTATCTATAGACATCCGACGCATGGAGGTGAGAACTCTCCCCTACACATACACTGGAAAAAATGCTGCTCCAAAAACAAGTAAATATATAATAAAAACAAGGTGTTTTCACTTTTGTGAACACATCTGCCAATAGAACAAGTACGAAAAGGCTTGGTAAGATTTGTTGAAGTAAAGATGGGATATTTCGATAAATGAGACAGAGTTCCCGTTAGAATATTTTTTTGCCGGTCAACATGTCCGTTAAAAGTCAAAGGTCTTATTTGTTATTTAATATAATGTGTACAGTAACTTACAATAACGCGGGAATAATAAACGGAGCGCTCGCGGATCCAGTAATGAGTGACCCGACAGTAAAACTAAACATATCTATAACTAGTGTAGGTAGTTTGAGAGGTCATTAAAATAGCTATGTGTGATATTCTAACCTGAAGTGTGTGTTTTGTTCCGCTCACCGCTGCATGTGATCATGCAGAGCTGCATGTCGACTCGTCAGCAGCAGCTGATCTCTCTCTCCCGTCAGATTAGACTTTACTCGCGTTTATGTCCATATCGATCAGATCCAGCTAGTTCTAGCTAATGATATGACTACCTGTTTATTAAAAGACACCTAAACAATAAGCGTCGCTATGCAACCGGGTGAGGCCGCAAAGTATAGCGCAGCATTATGCATTTGTTTACATGCCCACCGGAACCCCGAGGCATTACCAACAGATCAACGCACAATCAACCCACACAGGACATCTCTTTCTCCACATTAAGTGTTAGACATTAGAATGGATTATTCTTGTCTGTCACATAAATGGTGCAAATTGCGCAACTGATGCGGTATTGCGCTAAGCGGAAATTATTTTGACCGGACACTTTGACCGGAGAGATTTAGATTTGCCGGTCTTCAGCCTATTTTACCGGTCATAGTCCGGTAATTACCAGCTAACGGGAACTCTGAAATGAGATCTTGTATTTAGTCGGGAAAACTTATTTTTTAACTATATTTGACCAGAATTGGGGAATTTGTAACAAAAAAAGACAGAAATGCTCAGACGTATTCAGTTTTCTGATGTTAGCTGGAGATTTTCCTATAAAATAAGATGTTTTTAAGAGACTTTGACTTAAGATGCTTCAGATGCCTTGTCTAAAAACAAGACTTAAGTTATTAAGTCTTGTTTCAAGTGTAACGAGTCTAACGACATATTAGAAATTAGACGAATAAACTTGGCAAGATTTTACATTTTTGCAGTGTACAGACGCTTTCAATCGCGATTCCATTCGAATATCATGAAAAGCATGAATTGGAGCCAACACACACAAGCTCTTCCTCATGAGCAGATTCAGGACACACACACACACACACACACACACACACACACACACACACACACACACACACACACACACACACACACACACACACACACACACTTCTTACCCTGAGCGATGCGGAGTTTGACCTCAAGGTCGACAGGGGTGGACACCACAGATTTGGTGAGAACCAGGACGTTCTCCAGGCCGATCACAACCACCAGATACGGGAAACACAGTTTTCAGATTACAGTTTTCACACGTGTACTTCAGAATGTACACACACACTGAAACCTTTCATCTGTGTTTAGCTCAGTGCCCCACTCAATGTACATTAGCTCTATAAACCCATACTATATTTACATTCTCAAAGAAAATCCTAAATCCTTAATGCTGTGAAGAAAAAGTGGTAGATGTAAAGCTGTGATTAATACGGCTGCTACTGTGGATGCACAATATTCAACTTTGTACTGATATGTTCCAATTCATTCCCAGTGATAAGATACAGGAACATATTTGTTCCATCTAATCGCAGAGGACATCAAGTCTCTCCTGTAGTAGAGCCTACATTATTATGGCCTCTGTTGTCATCATGGCCCGTGCAGACATAAGAAACAAGGATTTAATAGCAAAAAAAAAACTTTTATCATTACGTAATATATCTGCCTGTCCTATCAGAATCACGATACTTTATTTATCGAGAGGGAATTTGGATTTTGTGATAGTTGCTCAATTTTAAAGGTCCCATGTCATGGCCATTTCTACTGATCATATTTCCATTGTTGAGGTCTACTAGAATAGATTTATATTGTGCAATTTTCCAAACTCACATTGGTTCTCACACAGCATCTCTGTATGTGAATTCACTCTCTGTCCTACACGGCTTGTTGGAGCTCCTGCCCCCCCTCCCTGTGAGCCCAGTGGCTGCGAGACACAGCGAAACCCAGTGCGAAACACACACACACACCCTGGGAGTTTGTGTGTGTGCCCAGGCTGAGTTCCGCTGTGTCACACTGTCCCGCTCCTCGCAGCAGCGAGCCTCGCAACGTCCCGCCGAGAGTGTGTGTGTGTGTGAGGAAGTCCGCAGATTGGTCCAAACGTAACGGCTCCGCGGACGTAACGTCACTATACCCGAAATACGTCACTATCCCCAAGAAGTAAACAATGGAAAAAGAGAAATCTCCAACGAGGCGTTCTGGGGCAGCATAGACAGGTATTTTCTGTGTTAGAGTTGTACTGCAGAAAAAGCTACATAACACACAAGCGGACGGGTACGTAAAAGCATGACACGGGACCTTTAAAATAAAATAAATGCTAGTTAGATTTTTTTATTTATGTTTATCTGCTGATGATGTGCCAATATCATTCAACATTCATACGTTTTATTGTCATATGCACAGTAGCTAGATATGGCAATGAAAATCTTTGGCTCCTCCAACAATCCAAAATAATATATAAGACACAAACAATATAAAACAGTGCAAGATCCTGCATCTCTAGCTGCAGCTAACAATTATTTTCATTATGAATACATCATATGATTTCTTTTTTTAGTGTGTAGTCTTCAACACAATTATCCAGATGTGTAAACTTCTTCTACCCCTTCCACTCCACCTCCTAAAAAAGTGAAATATTCCAATTTTGGTTGGATTTAAAACATGCTCAATGCAAAAATACTTTATCTAAAGGGAATTTGGGCTTTGTGACAGGTGCTACATTTTATAAAGAAATAAAAGATTAATAAATAAATGATCAGATTTTGGCCACTTTATGATGTCATAACGATGTTTTGGCTTGTGTAACCATTAGCCAATCAGCAACCAAGGTGGGACTCCCAGCAGCTTCTACTGAAGCCTTCCGACTAAATCGCCAGAACGCCGACACCTCCTCATCTCCACCGCTCCCATGTTTTATTTTGTGTTGCCATAAGTTAGTCTCTCCGTTGGTGCGCTGGGCTAATGCTAATGCTAATGCCAGCAAATACAATGGCGGCTTCAAAACAACTTTTCCGAGTTTCACGGGGCGTGGCTTGCAATTCGCCCAGCCAATCAGAAATTGGTACTTTTTTCTCCCCAGGACAGTCCCACCTCTCTAGCAGGAACTGAAAATGGGGGTAAAAGTTCTCTGAACTAAGTTCTCTTTTTGATGTGAACGCAAAATTCCAGGCACTAACGGAACTAAACGGGAAAAGTGTGAAAGCGCCTATTGATCTGTTTGGTATTTCGAGCCAAAAAACACAGTTATCCAGATGTGCTAACTTCCTCCCTCCCGCTCCAGCTGGCTGATTTGAACCGCCGCCTGCCAGCTGAAGCCGGTCTCCCGCCTCCCAAACCCGGCCCACTGCGTCCCCGTGAAGCTCCGCCCCCCCCACGGCCCTCCCCCCACACCATCACCCTGCAGACCCCCGCCTTCAGGAACCTGCGGCTCCCCAAGAGGCTGAGGGTCGTCTACTTCCTGGCCCGAACCCGCCTGGCTCAGCGCATCATCATGGTGAGAAGACTCAGAGCAGACTGTATGAATGTGATGTGTTCTGTTCTTGTGTTGCTCTACGTGGTCTGTGTTTTGTTTTTATGCTAACCTTACATTTCTGCCTCATGTTGTTATTGTATTCATGTTTCTGTGGTCTTAATTTGTAGCTTTTGTTCTTTCTTGTGAAAGGTGCTATACTAAATAAACATATTGTTATTATTCAGTTTATTCAAAGATTGACAGGAACATTGTCTGTAAAATATGTGTTCAGTGACGCATCGCTGTGGCTGCACCCTCAATCTGACCTTCACATGGGAGGTTACCATGGATAAATAGCTGTGCGATTTGCTGGCTTAAAGAAACATTTTGTAACCATTTGATCTAGAAATTCCAGTCTGTACTGTCGCTAAAAGAGAGAATGGTGTCTCGATGAGTCTCTATTAATCTCACAGGAGAACTGAGTAAGGGGTAATCATTTCAGTTTAATCCACTGATGTCCTCGACTCCCAGGGATATGAAAAGTGTTTTGATATGCCATAAAGCTTTACTTGGTTCTAAAGTAACCATAAGCGCCCGTCCACACGGCGGCGTGCGTTGAAGCTTCAACGCTTCTGCCCATTCACTTTGAATGGGGTGACGTCACGCTTTGCCGAACTGCATTGTGGTCGCTTCGCTTTAAAAGTTGAGCAATGTTCTAATTTTGAAACTTTGACAGAAGCGTCAGCCAATCAAATCATATGCCAGTACAAGCTCTAGCCAATCAAACCGCATGCTTGTGTGTCCGGGGCGGGAGATTCATGTGATTGGTTGTTGGTCGAGCTTCAACACACG